AGTAAGGAAATATAAGTGAAAATATAATCAGAGACATTATTATATTGTTGCATATCAGCAGTTATCGGGGATCAACGCCCCCAAGATAATCTTCTCTCTTTCTCTTTCCTCGGAACCCGACTTTATCCCTTGGGCATAGTGTTAACAACAATTTTTTATTCAACATACTAAATGATGTGGCGAGCGTGGAGAATGCCACCAACAAGACGAAAAGCCTTTCAGGTTGGAGAAATCCAAAAGACAGAAAAACAAGAAACCAAAATTAAAAAAATAAATAAATGAGATAAAGAAAATAAAATGTGACAAGACAAGAGGAAGAAAAAAAAAGTGACAAGACAAAGTAAAAAATTATGACAAGACAAGGAGAAAATGATAAGAAGAAAAAGATAAAAAGAAAGGAGAAAGAAGAAAGAGGAGGAAAACTCCCTTTCAAATTCCAAGAAAGATTAGAGAAAAACTCTTCCAACATTCCAAGAAGGTCTCGACGAGAAAAATAAAAAGATAAGCTCCACCTCTTTTCATTTTACTTGTTATTCATTAAAGAAGAAAAAAAGTTAAAGAAGAAAAAGACTAAAAAGACATCTATCTAATTTTTCACTTAAGTCTCTCCTCTGGGATGAGGATTCAAAAAATTACTCTCTAAGCATCTCCTCTCGAAGAGCATTCTAAAAAGGAAAAAAAATCTCTCTCTCCAATGAGCAAATGAACTCTCTCATTGAAGCCTCTCCTCCAGGAAGAGCAAGCAAATATCTCCCACTTTCAAGCCTCTCCTTTGGGAAAAGCAAACAAAAGATTTTTTCATTTAAGCCTGTCTTTCGAGTTAAGCAAACGAGCTATCTCCCTCATTTAAATCTCTTCTCCAGGATGAGCAAATGAAAGATATTTTCACTTAAGTCTCTCCTCTGGGATGAGCATTCAATTAATTGTTGGCAGACCATCCGAGCCGACCATGGAGATTATAGTCGGTCAACCACCCAAAGCCGACGAGTCCAGCAGAGAAAAACTCCAAGACCGATACGAGCAGAAAAAAACTTAAATACCCCTTGTGACTTCTGTTATAGCAGGCATAAAAATAATCTCCTCATCCCCTCTTTATTTCTCTATAACATGTAGAGAGCTTGCTCCCCTTCTCCCTCACTTGTAGTCAAATCTGTGTGGAATAATAGCGACCGCTGAGTCCGAGGACCAGCCTTCTCTGGCGGCCCCGGGACAATCTTCTCTCTTTCTCTTCCTCTCTTTCTTATTTCCTTGGAACCCGACTTTATCCCTTGGGCATAGTCTGAAGAACAATTTTGGATTAAACAATGTAAAGAATGCCACCAACAAGACGAAAAGCTTTCCAGGTTGGAGAAATCTAAAAGACACAAAAACAAAAAGCCAAAATAAAGAAAAGAACAAATGAGATGAAAAAGACAAAATATGAAAAGACAAGAGGAAGAAAAAAAGTGACAAGACAAAGTAAAAAATTGTGATAAGACAAGGAGAGAATGATAAGAAGAAAAATACAAAAAGATAGAAGATAGAAGAAAGAGGAGGAAAACTCCCTTTCAAATTCCAAGAAAGATTAGGGAAAAACTCTTCCAACATTCCAAGGTCTCAACAAGAAAAATAAAAAGATAAGCTCCACCTCTCTTCATTTTATGTACCGTTCATTAAAGAAGGAAAAAAAAATGAAAGAAGACAAAGACCAAAGAGGCATCTATCTAATGTTTCACTTAAGTCTCTCCTATGGGATGAGGATTCAAAAAATTACTCTCTCTAAGCCTCTCCTCTCGGAGAGCATTCTAAAAAGAAAAAGAAACTCTCTCTCTTCAATGAGCAAACATACTCTCTCATTTAAGCCTCTCCTCCGGGAAGAGCAAGCAACTCTCTCCCACTTTCAAGTCTCTCCTTTGGGATGAGCAAACGAAGGATCTCTTCATTTAAGCCTGTCTTCCGAGTCAAGCAAGCGAGCTATCTCCCTCATTTAAATCTCTTCCCCAGGATGAGCAAATGAAATATATCTTCACTTAAGTCTCTCCTCTGGGACGAGCATTCAATTACTTGTTGGCAGACCATCTGAGCCGACCATGGAGATTATAGTCGGTCGACCACCCAAAGCTGACGATTCCAACAGAGAAAAACTCCAGAATTGATACGAGCAGAAAAAAATTGAAATACCCCTCGTGACTTCTCTTATAACAGGCATAAATATAATCTCCCCATCCCCTCTTTATTTCTCTATAACATGTTGGGAGCTTGCTCCCCTTCTCCCTCACTTGTAGTCAAATTTGTGTGGAATAATAGCGACCGCTGAGTCCGGGGACCAGCCCTCTCTGGCACCCCCGAGACAATCTTCTCTCTTTTTCTTCCTCTCTTTCTCCTCTTCTTGGAACCCGACTTTATCCCTTGGGCACAGTCTGAAGAACAATTTTGGATTCAACATCCTAAATGGTGTGGTGAGCGTGGAGAATGTCACCAACAAGATAAAAAGCCTTCCAGGTTGGAGAAATCCAAAAGACAGAAAAACAAGAAACTAAAATAAAAAAAAAGAAAAAATGATATGAAGAAGACAAAATGTGACAAGACGAGAAAGAAAAAGAAGTTACAAGTCAAAGTAAAAAATTGTGACAAGACAAGGAGAAGAAGAAAAAGAAAAAAAGAAAGAAAAAGAAAAAAGAGGATGAAAACTCCCTTTCAAATTCCAAGGAAGATTAGGAAAAACTCTTCCAACATTCCAAGAAGGTCTCGACAAGAAAAATAAAAAGATAAGCTCCACCACTCTTCATTTTATTTACCGTTCATTAAAGAAGGAAAAAAAATGAAAGAAGACAAAGACCAAAAAGACATCTATCTAATTTTTCACCTAAGTCACTCCTCTGGGATGAGGATTCAAAAAATTACTCTCTCTAAGCCTCTCCTTTGAGAGAGCATTCTAAAAAAAAAACTCTCTCTCTCCAATGAGCAAACGGACTCTCTCATTTAAGCCTCTCCTCCGGGAAGAGCAAGCAACTATCTCCCACTTTCAAGCCTCTCCTTTAGGATGAGCAAACGAAAAATCTCTTCATTTAAGCCTGTCTTCCGAGTCGAGCAAGTGAGCTATCTCCCTCATTTAAATCTCTTCTCCAGGATGAGCAAATGAAAGATCTCTTCACTTAAGTCTCTTTTCTGGGATGAGCATTCAATTATCTTTCTCTTAACTTAAGCCTCTCATCCGAGATGAGCATTCCATGATATATCTCTTAACTTAAGTTTCTCTTTTGGGATGAGCAAACAAGAAATCCCCCCCCCCCCTTCCCCTTACCTCAATCTTAAGTCTCTCTTTTATATATCAATAGGTGTTTCCCTAACAAAAAAAGAGAAAATCCACAGTTTACGATACAAATCACCAAACTAGCAAATCTCGGAGGTTACCCCTACAAAGACAGCAGTAAAATCCGTCTAAGTCCGGGTGAAAAGAGTGGTCTCCTAGAGGTGAGATTTTGAAAAGAGCACAATAAATGGGCAAGGAGCAGGACCAGAGTTAGAAAAAAAAATTCTATTCATAAATCTAAATGAAAGCTTGATTATATACTCTTCAAAAATCTTGACAGTAATTAATGATCTTTTTTCAAAAAACTTAATTCACAAAAGGCTAGCAGAAATGCTGTTAAAAAAAATTGTCCAACTGGGGAATTATAAAATAATGTTTTCTGTATTCACTGGTATTTCATTCTTATCCAATCTTCGTTTCCAAAAAGTGAAAAACTCAAGGGTTTTATTTATAGCCCAAAAATAGGCCACCCCATAGAGTCATGGAACTCGTTGTCATCAAAGACGTTGTGTCGGAGCTGTCACGAGCACTTATGAGTACTGCCTCCATCCAATTGGTCGACAACCCCCTGTCAGCCTACCATATGGAGATCAACCAGCTAACCATCCGAGTCGGCCATGGAGAGTATAGCTGGCCCACCACTTGGGCCAACAACCACCTGTCAGCCGACCATTTGTGTTGGCCACCCAATGCCGACAAGTTCAGTAGGGAAAAACTCTTGGATGACTGATACAAACAGAAAAAAGGCTGGAATACCGTCGTGACTCCTCTTATAATAGGGGCATAAATGTAATTTCGCTCTACTTTCTTTATTTCTATATAAATAGTGAATCCCTTAAAGGTTAAAGAGGGTCTCTTAGGCTTTTTCTCTCTCCCCCTCATGTAGGGAGCTTGCTTCTTTTCTTGCTCACTTGTAACCAAACTTCTGTGGAATAATAGAGTTGCTCCACCTCCATATGGCAACCTTCTCTGTTTTTATTCCCTTGGAACCAGACTCTTATCTCATGGGCATTAGGAGGGGTTGGTAGATTATAACTTGAACCAGAATTACTTTTAAACCTGACAAACCCAACCGACAGACTTTATACTCTCTATATCACAGAAATAACCCCGTGCCAAATGCCCCTTTCACGAAACATGTTGTTTAATTACACAAATCGTGTTAACTATTCTACCCTTTCCTCACTTCCACTCCATTTGCTTGTGATTTAACGATTTGAGTGTTATGGCATCATTGATGCAAACCTCCCCACAACTGCCGAACCCCTTGCAGCCACCAAGCCCTGTAGTTGTACAATCTTCTCCTTTGATCAATCAAAGTCGATGACAAAGAATCTCCACCTCTTTTTCCTTTGAGACCCCCACTTCCTCCATACGAGGGAAGTTTCTGCCTCCTTCCTTGTCCTCTCTTTCAGAACCCCACAACAAATAAAATAAACTTGAGTAATTTCCTACCTTGTGATCTCAAAATATCATTTTTATTTAAAAATTAAAGAAAAATTACATCGATAATGCTACGAATTTACTTATCATTAACATTTCTAATACTTTATTCCTATAATTCTGTGTGTTCCAGCCTACATTTAAATATCAACAAAAATAACGTCTTTATCTTCAAATAAAAAAAATCTCATTTATTTTTACATGCTGTCATCTCGGGAATGCGCAAAAAATAGCTATAGAAGTATTTAAAATTGTGGCAAGGGATTTTTATTCAGTGACCACATCTTCCACAATAAATAAATAAGCTATTTTAATTTCACCCATCCCATAATAAGCTAGATTGAAGCAAAGCTTAAAAGAGGACCACCAGGATGGTACTGCAGTAATGAAAAAGCTCAAGAGCAATTAGACAATGATGCGGTTGGCTAGTTAGTAGCTCCTTAGCATCATGTGCAGGAGTAATTAATAGAAAGAAGAAAATGTAGCAAAATGGTGAGGTGAGTAACAAGTATGGAGGAAAGGAGGGGATTATTGGTCTTCTCTCGTGGAAAGTCCAAGTCTCCCAGCGGCTTTGGCTCAACAAGAAGCTATTATTATGCTAAAGGTGTAGGTGAGAGGGTTAATTACACCTTGTACTACAGTTGTTACACATTGCACATGCATCATCATCTTCTTCATCATAATCATAATCATCATCATCATCATCATCTCTCAACACCCTTCTCTTGCCGACAGCTTCTGCTCCCCTACAGCTACATCTCCTGCACATTCTCCCCATGGATCCCCTCCCCCGCCTTCTCTTATAAACTTGAATGGCTTATACCTCTTTAGGCTCTTTGTAATTATCAGCAGCTGCTGGATTAATTGCTCTCCCAGCGGCCACAACCACTATATAAAATTACCCCCGCCAAGCAAACTAACTCCCCGCCAGCCACTTTAATTCACAGCTTCCATCTTCTGTTTCATTGTATTCAGCTTCTCTGTGCGTGTACTTGTCTCCTCCAGTGGCACTTGTGCAACCCCCATTGATCCATCCCTAACCCTCAGTATATAGTGTCCGGTACATAAATTGAGCTCAAGATCACAGCTGATAGTAGGAAATTCCATGGTACAGTCGAAGAAGTTCAGAGGAGTAAGGCAAAGGCATTGGGGCTCATGGGTTTCAGAGATTCGACATCCTCTTCTGTAAGCAGGCTTCTATCCTCTCAATTTACTACTTCTTGTAGCTCAGATGGATGCAAAAGCAGTAAATTGTATGTAATGTGGTGCGTGCAGGAAGAGAAGGGTGTGGCTGGGCACCTTCGAGACTGCAGAAGAGGCGGCCCGTGCTTACGACGAGGCTGCCGTGCTTATGAGCGGCCGTAATGCCAAAACCAACTTCCCAGTGCCTGCCACTTTCGCGGCCGAGAACGGGTTCCCGCCCTGTGGCGGGCGCGGCCCGCCCACCCCCCCCCGG